AAAAAAAAAAAAAGGCTGCTCTTTCCATATGCCCTACTCCAGTCACAGAAAGCCAACCTTCCCACAGTAAAGCCCATCCTCCTAAAAAGTTCCCCTCCAGATACAGGAATTCCTGTTGACCTTAATAGGAAGTCTTTCCTACTCCTATAGGAAAGCCCATTTCTTCCAAAGGAAGTACTGCTTCATCTATAGGAAGTCCCTCCTACTCCCAAAGGAAAGTCCATTTTCTCCCAAAGGAAGTCCCGCCTCACACACAGAAAGTCTTTCCCACTTTTTAAGAGGTCCTTAGTTCTGGTTCTCAACAATAACAATGACCTCATTGGATAATTACTTAGGATTTTGGACATAGACAAACTTTGGCCTAGGAAATCACACCCTTCCTATGGGAAATCCTCTATCCTGGGAAGCCCTGCTTGCTCCCACAGTCTCTCTGAACCTGACAATCTGACCCTTTGAAAATTTTCTCAGTATCATCAATTTAAATCTGACAGGAGCTCATTGAGTTACACCCTCAATAGGAAGTCCCATGTCCCATCCTCATCTACTGGAATGATTTGGCTGGCATTTCAAATAGTGATCCAGGGCCCTTTGCTTTGTATTATGGTTAAACTCATGGATTACAGCTCTATCACTTACTAATGTGGGCCATTTCCTTAACTTCTCTGTACCTTGTATGTGACAGGAAGAAGATAATAACTAACCTCTTGGGGGTGTGGCAAGCGTTAAGTGAATTAATCTATGTAAAGTGCTCAACCCAGTATCTGGCATATGGTGTCAATAAATGTAGGCAGTTTAACTCTGCTGGCCAAAACCTGGGACAAGATGTCTTTGCTTTTGACTACAGCCACCCCCAACAAATATGGCCTCTATGTTGGGCACAGATATGGCCCAACTCTTGCTGAGGATCTTAGGAAGGGAGCCTTGGGGTGATTTGACCCCTCCCCATACCTCACAGTCTCTGCTGACACAGAAGTGGTGGGGGCAGATGGACAGCAGCACACCCATCTGGGCTCTAGTTCTCACCTTCTTTTGTCCTCCACTCATCTACACCGACCTCATCACCTTCAGGTCAGTCCCCTGGGGTTGGTGTGGGGATGGGGGGGTGTTCAGTTCCTCCTCCTTACTCATTTCTGCCCACCTTTCCTAATTGGTCTGCTCTTTTCCTCTGCCAAGGAGTATTCTGGGAGGTGAGCTTTTGGGGCTGCTCTCTGTGGTGTTTCTAGGGGCAATTCCTCTGCCTTTCTGGCCATGGCTGTTGGGGAAGATTCCTTTGGGATGACTTTAGGGAGTGATCTCTCTGTCTCTCACCCATCCCATGTCTGTGGGTAAAGAAGTTTGAGTTTTTCTGGAGAACTCCTCTTCTCTCTCCTTCTCCCCGCTTCTCATTCTGGTCTTCCTTCCATGCCAGGAAATCAGAAGCAAAGTCCATGCAGAAGGACCTAGAGTCTGATGCGAATAGGGACATTAATGGGGAAGGGCCTGTCAGGTAAGTGAAGCCCCCAGTATTATGTGAGGTGGGGTACCCTGGGCAGCTTCAGGACACCAGTCATTTCCATGTCCCATCAGGGACTGGGAGCAAGAGGTGAGAACTGGGACTCATCAAAGCCAGAGAAGAAATTGTGGCTTCAGCAAACCATTGACAATAGTGAGGAAATTTCCAAAATGCCAAGCTCAGGCGTGACTCAAGTTTTGGTTCTGCCACTAAGGAGGCCACACTACATATGCTTCCATCCTTCTATAGCAAGTAGAATCGGGTGGATTTGGTTCATTTAAGATTTTTCACCTATATTTTGCATGTTCCTAGGGCCTTTGGTCTTAATCGCTATGCTATGGTCCCAGAAAGGTGATTTAAAAATCAAGCCTAAGCAAATGAAATAGAATTTTTATCAAACTTCTGATAATGACACATAGCAGAGGTGCTGAGGAACTTGGCTCTGAGTCATGCAGACTTGGTTTCAATCCTGACCATGATCTTCAAAGTGACTTCACCCTGAGCTTCAGTTTCCTTTTCTGTAAAATGAAGGCAAATAGGACACCGAATTGTTAGTCAGCTGAGGTCAGGTAATGCTGCAAAAACAAAAATCAGGGCCAGGTACAGTGGCCGATACCTTAAATGCTAGCCCTATGGGAGGCTGAGGTGAGAGATCAGTTGAGGCCAAGAGTTCAAGACCATCCTGAGAGATCCCTTCTCTACAAATTAGAAAAATCAGCCATGTGTGGTGGCAGGTGCCTGAAGTGTCAGCTACTCAAGAAGTTGAGGCAGCAGGATCATTTGAGCGCAGGCCTGTGAGGCTGTAGTGAGCTATGATGATGCCATTGCACTGTACCCTGGTCAACAGGGTAGATCTTGTCTTTAAAAACAACAAAACAAACAAACAAAAAAACTTCAGGGCCTCAAAACAGCAAAGGTTTGTTTGTGGGTTGGCTGTGGGTCTGCTCCATGTGCTCTTACTTCAGGGTGAGTGCCAGCCCTGGGCTCAGGCATTGCTGGCCTCAGAGCAGAGGGAAAAGAGACCTGGCAAACCAGGCTCTGCTCTTTTTTTTTTTGAGACAGAGCCTCAAGCTGTCCCCTGGGTAGAGTGCCGTGGCATTACAGCTCACAGCAACCTCCAACTCCTGGGCTCAAGCGAGTCTCCTGCCTCTGCCTCCCAAGTAGCTGGGACCACAGGCGCCCGCCACAGCGCCCGGCTATTTTTTGGTTGCAGCCGTCATTGTTGTTTGGCGGGTCCGGGCTGGGAATTCAAACCCGCCACCTTAGGTGTACGTGGCTGGCGCCTCAGCCGGTTGAGCTATAGGCACCGAGCCCCAGGCTCTGCTCTTAAAGCCTCCACATGAAAGTACAAAACCCGCCCAGTGCAGTGGCTGATGCCTGTAACCCCAACACTCTGGGAGACTGAGGTGGGTGAATAGCTTGAGCTCTGGAGTTTGAGACCAGCCTGACCAAGAGCGAGACCCGGTCTCTTCTAAAAATAGAAAAATTAGCTTAATGTTGTGGCCACCTGTAGTCCCAGCTAGTCAGGAGGCTGAGGCAAGAGGATCACTTGAGCCCAGGAGTTTGAAGTTGCTATAAGCTATGACACCACAGCACTGTACTAAGGGTGACAGGGTGAGACTCTGTCTTGAAAAAAAGAAGTGCCAAAAGCAAGATTTCATAGTTAATTCTCCATAGGAAGGGTACACTGAGAGGGAGCCAGAATATTGGGTATAGTCTCCCTCAGTGCCTGATTGGGCAGCTGGGAGGATGCATTGAGATAATGTACATAAAAGACAGAAAAGGCATATCCTAGGGTCCAGCAGATAGGAAGTGGCCAACTAATGGTGATTATTATTACTGCTGT